TTCCATCACACGATTTCAGCGTGTTTGTGAATGTTTCTCAGTTGCGTTGTTGTAGTACATCCCCCGATTGACCTGCCCGACTCCCCGGGAAGGGCTGGCCGTCCCGTCTCTGTTCGTTTTGGGTGAACTACAGTTTGGACCCTCTCAAATTATTCATGGTGTTTAAATGATGACCAAAGAGTCCAAATCAGCAAAATCGTTTTGAGAAAACAGATTTTGAAAAAGTGCCAAACATGGACTGCTTTGCTGGATACAGAGTTGCACCTAAATGTTTTATTTGGAAATTTAGAAACCCTGACTCGTTTGCCTAAGGCCACGTGTCCGTCATCACCAAAGTGCCTCGGCTCGGGACTTGGGTACGATGGGGAAGGTCACTTCGTGAGCACCCCCGTCGCCCGATCAAAGATCGGCCCTCTACTAACCACGAATATCTAGTTTTGAAAACATTATGCGTCTTATTCCGGTTATTAGCCTAGATTTACTATGTGATGCGCACAGCATACAAGTATAGACTGGATCGCCTGAATTGGAACAAAACATTTCATGTTTTTTGTTTGAAAAATAGTTTGATTGCTACCCGCAAGTAGGCTAAGACATGGATTCCACACCTCAAGTGGGCTTAGAAACATGATTTTGCCATATCTAGTGGGCTAAAACTCACAGTGAATAAAATTATTCCAATCCAAATAATCCCAACCTTCACCCACAGGCATTCAGGCAGTTATATCACATAAGCAATTAGCCTCATGGTAAGCATGCTATCATGGTATGTCACTCACACGCATGCAAGGATTGCTAAAGCATTAAAATCTTACCGGAGTCTTCCAAGCCAAAACAGAAGCTAATTAGAAATCCATGCATGAATCCTAATTTTATAGAAGGCCTAATGCAACACATGCAAAAATGCAAACTAAGATAGGCTCGGCTATTTCTAAAACATGGCAATATGAATGCTACACGCTAACATGTATTCAACTTATAGAATTAAAATACAATGCATTATGATGACGCCGAGCCCGGTGCATGCAAGACAGATGAAATGAATGCAACATGCTATCATACTGTATGCTAATTTAATATGCGTGTTTGCCTGGACCCACTCCGACATGCCGGGTATTGACCCCTCCTTCATCACCCATCGTCTCAGCATTGAGCCCCATTTCTGACCCTTTCGCTAGAAGCAGCGCATCTTTCACTCGGAGCGCAATACTAAGCACCCATACCCGAGAGAGATGCCAGTAGTGTCTAGCCTCCGCTGCATTCCGGCGGTGACAGAGCCATAAAGCTCCAACTCCAAGGTGTCATGCAGAACATACAACATAAACTATCTACCACAGCCATGAAATGTTTTGTTCCAATTCAGGCGACCCGGTCTATACTTATATGCTGTGCGCATCACATAGTAACCTAGGCTAATAACCGGAATAAGGACATACAAAGTTTTCAAAAATAGATATCGTGGTTAGTAGAGGCCGATCTTTGATCGGGCGAGCGGGGGTGCTCACGAAGTGACCTTCCCCAATCGTACCCAAGTTCCCGAGCCGAGGCAACTTTGGTGATGACGGACACGTGGCCTTAGGCAAACGAGTCAGGGTTTCCTAAATTTCCCCAAAATAAAACATTTAGGTGGCAACTCTGTATCCAGCAAAGCAGTCCATGTTTGGCACTTCTTTCAAAATCTGTTTTCTCAAAACGATTTGCTGGATTTGGACTCTTTGGTTCAGATTTAGAACCATGATAATTTGAGAGTCCAAACTGTAGTTCACCCCAAAAACGAACAGAACGGGACTCACCCTCCCGGGGCGTTCGGGGATGTCTACAACAACGCAACCTGAGAAAAATTCCAAACACGCTGAAATCGTGTGAGGAAAGAGACACTCAAACCACGCTCAAATCGTGAGAGGAGGTCCGAAAACAAACCGCCCAGGTGCGTACACAACACAACCTGAGATGAATTCCAAACACCCTGAAATCGTGTGAGGAAAGAGACACTCAAACCACGCTGAAATCGTGAGAGGAGGTCCGAAAACAACCGCCCAGGTGTGTACATAACGCAACCTGAGATAAATTTCAAATACGCTGAAATCGTGAGAGGAGGTCCAACAACCCGCCCAG